ATTGCATAAATATAATAATAAAAAATATATATAAGCATATTAATAAAAAAGAATTATTAAAATTAATAAGACTAGAATTATTAATATTAGTTAGTGAAATGATATCAACAAGAGATATGTTGATAAAAATATATGATGATGAAAATGTTGAAATAAAGTTAAAAGCAGATTATTTAATAGAAATAATAAAAGAAATATTATATAAATTTAATGAAGAAGATGAAGTTAGTAAATATAGTGATGATAAATATATAATAAAACAAATAAAAAAACAAAAAGAAATTGAAGAATTAAAAAATATCAAAAATGATATTCAAAAAGAAATTGAAGAATTAAAAAATATCAAAAATGATATTCAAAAAGAATTAAAAAATATCAAAAATGATATTCAAAAAGAATTAAAAAATATCAAAAATGATATTCAAAAAGAAATTGAAAAAAAGCAAAAAAAAATATGTAATACTTGTGCATTAGCAAACTCTCTTATGATAACAAAGCGAAAGCACGACGCAAACGAATTAGCAAACGAATTAGCAAACGGTCTTATGATAGCAGAGCGAAAGCACAATGAAAGATTAAAAAAAGAAAAGTTAAAAACACCAGATCAAATTTATTATTAAGAAAAGTCACGTGACGTCATGCAAGAATTTTTCGTAATATTTCATAACAAGAAATAAAAATTAACACTTATTTTAAAAAATCAATTTTTTAAAATAAAAAATTATTTCTTGTTGAAATAGTTTATATACAATATGGTTAACATTGAACCCAATATTAATATTAATTTATGGTTGAAAATAAGGTTGAAAATGAAAATAAGCTAGAACTCTCCTTCTCCTACTACTATTATATATATATTCATGTAATCAGCAATATTAGGAAATTCAAATTTATACATCTTTTTTCAAAAAAAAAAAAAACTCTACTTAAAATGTTTTTGTACAAATGTCACGTCAAATGTTAAGAAATTGTCAAAAAAAAAAAAAAAAAAAAGTTACCTCTATCTTCAAAGGGGTCTACAGTTAGAGGGTCTCTAACTATAAACCAATCTAAATCGTACCTTTCAATTGCAAGATGAAATCTTGATTGCATGATCTTGACTTAAACTATTTCTCCATTCCATCTTGCAAGATGAAATGGAAAAATAGTTCAAATCAAGATCATATAATAATTGATGTCAAACAACATCCTCTTAGAAAACCAACACAATTTTGTAAATAGAAAATCATGTGTCACAAACCTTTTAGAAACAATAGAATTTCTTACCAAAAGCACACTATCGATGCAATATTCTTTGGTTTTGCAAAAGTCTTTGATAAAGTCCTGCATAGAAGACTATTCCATAAGCTGGAGATGTTTGGTATAGAAGATAATATTTTAATCTGGATTTAACTTATAAGGCCTTTTTTTTTGATAGTGTCATACTTAGTGACACGTCGTACGAGTGGGAAAAAATATACAGTGAAATTCCACAAAGCTCTGTGCTTGGCATATATAGATATTATCGTTGAGTGGATAGGAACTTGGCTAAAATAATTAAATGTTAAAAAATGCAAAGTCATGCACTTTTACCAACCGTCACCTTCGAGAGCACTTACTTTATAACTGAATACGATCGACAATATAATGCTAAAACAATTGAAATTCCACATTAACCCATTGAAAAAGATTTTGGAATGTACATCTCTTATGATCTTCAATTATGATCTACTTGTATATTCAGAGGCGCTTAATTATTGAAAAACCCTACTTATGTACGCCTTCATCTCGAATTTGACATTATTGCATTGAACCCTCGTCACAAGAGAGGCATTAATATATAAGAACGAATTCAGCATCATACAACAAAAATCTCATACGATATAAAACCTTATAACTACGAAATAAGGTGCACCAAACTAAGCTTTACCACCTTAAAATAAAGGCGCATCTGTAGAAAAATGATTCAAAAGTGCAAAATATACAACATTATTAACGTCATCTCCTGGCCCGCTCTATCTGTTAGCATTACTCCGTTATACCGCCATTGCAAACGTATACACCGAGAAAAAGACAATAACTGTCTTAAACTATACAAATTCTTTAAGAACCACATTGTTACACATTAGAATGACCACCATGTTACACCTTATAATGACCACATTGATACACATTAGAATGACCACTTTTTACACATTGGAATGACCTTCCTGATAAAATTACACATGCCAATTGATTGTTATAAAATCTCATTTAACAGTCATATTCACTACAGCGCACCACCTACCGTGACAGCCCCACTGGTTAAACGAGTTAACCTTGCTAACTGATGTGTTTAACGGAATATGCCCGTTCCAAGTGAACCAAATTATTAACTATTTGTTTCATATAGTGGTTTAATAATAATTTATCATTGCATTGCACTGTAACAATGTGTTAGTTTTAATAAATAAATTGATTTCTTCTAGGCTTAAATTGTACTTTCCTAACAATTCAATTAAAAACCCAAATAATTTCAATTGTTTGATTAAAACAACCAATCCACAAAATGTCACAAAGTGCTAAATTTCGTTCAGCAAGAATCTGCGCAAATGGAATGTCTCTTTTTGGACTAGTTTTTGTGTTTCCTTATAAATTGTCACTCTTGCCTTCTACCGATTTTCCAGCTCAAATCAAGCATCAAAAGCAAGAATGTGTTTAGTTGACAGTTCATGATTAGCTTGAACCATAGGCATGTTTTCCAAATCGCTATTTTTTTCAATTGTGAGTTTATTTTTTAGATTTGGAAACAATCGACAACAAAAACAACATACAACTTTTTTATAACTCGTATAAACTAGCCAAAAACGATCTAAGCATTCACCATTACATTACTTTGTGAAAATCCCACTGAGAAACTCTCATCTTGCAGATACTTTGTTCCTGTATCATGAAAAGATCCCTTTCAACTAAGTAAATACATTTTCTACCACTAATGGAAGATGGCCGTAAACCCTTACCTTTCCAATCAAAGTTGACATTTTGGCTCTCATATGCATTGTTCGTACCTGTATTTTCCGTGATTTCTTTTTGTAAATTTGTCATAACCACTTCATTGACCACTTCTTCTAAAGATATCTAAACACTACGTTTTGGCCACATGCTGGCGATTGGAAAAAATGTGTATCGTCTTCATTCTGAGCATTTGAAATTGAAATCAAATATATTTCTTTCTTATCTTAATTTGTTTAATAAATTGTAGATAACTATCTACCAACGTTAAAAGATTTTATATAACTATAAAACTAGAGGTGCACCGATGCCTACTTTTGGCCGATGCCGATGCTGATGGGTACAAGCCAATGCCGATGCATCGGCATCGGCCCTGATATTGGATATATGATGGAAATATACACTTGAATGGAAATGCCACCTTTCATTCATGTGACTATGAAAGCGATATTTTAAACTTGTTACTGTTAAAGTTTATTTTCCATTATTTTTATCATTGTTTTCTAGATAATTAGAGCAGTTTAATTAAAAAGCTCATTTTATAAATATTTTATAAACATTTATTTCCGTCATTCTGTTAAATTAAAATGATTTCATTTTTTATAAAGAATAAATTGAAGATTTTGATGCCGTTACTTCTAATAATTGACAAGCTTTTAGCAAATGTTTTTATGAAATTAAATTATAAAACAGTATCTATATTAAATGTTTATTTATTAAACGCTTCCAATTTAATAATAAACTTTTTTATTATCTAATTTATATTAATATAAATGTAATGAATCATTTGATTGTAAAAAATAGCAGAAAGAGCTCAAAAAAATCTTTGTTTAAAATAATTTTCTCTTTATAATTTATTATTATTTAATAAAAAATGTCTTATGAATTATAAGAAAACACTTAAAAAGTAGGGAACTCTTTTAAAAGCAGTTCAAAAATTTTTAGTTTGGTGGTTGCATATATGCCTATATAAAACTTATTGTTAATAAGTTAAGCTTATACATTGCATTTAGGGTAAGGTTGCCGATATTGTATCTTCTAAGAATAAAGTCAAAAAAAGAGAAAAAAAAATCAAAGTAGAAACAACGAGACTTTATTGTAATTTATAATTTGGTGATAAACTGTTGGTATTTGATAAGGAACTAAATTTTAAAAATTGTACTATCGGTACAATTAAGAAAACCAAATCCTAAATCGTACTATTATAATCCAACATTTTACCTATATCTTGATTTTATAAATACTATATTAATTTACAGTACATTTTGAATGATTTTTGTAAAGATCTTTTTCTGTGTAAAATGTAAAATGTTTTGTAAGTAAAAAAGTTTTAAGTTTAATAAGTTTTATTTAATGAATTTTAAAAGTTTTTAAAACAATTGGCATCGGTCGATGGTTATAAATCCCGATGCTGATGCATCTGCTAAATGGCTGATACATCGGCAGGCTGATGCCGATGCCGATGCATCGGTGCACCCCTATATAAAACCTCTTTTGGAATTGCGATGAAGAATTTATTTAACTATAAAACCTTTTTGGGAATTGCGATTAAAAATAACTTTCTTTTTGTAAACAAACTTTTGTTTGATTACAACTTATCTAGTAATGTTCAAAGAATAACTGTAAAACCCCTTTGAGAATTGCGATGAAAAGTAACTATCTTTTTGTAATGAAACTTTTGTTCATAGAACTCTATCAATATTTGAAACAGAGCCGTGGCTAGGCTTCCCCACACACCCTGATTAGGGGGAGGGGAGGCATCTATTTTTAGGGGCCCATTTGGAAATTTCGGTGCCCTTTTCCAAATTTAAGGTTGTTTTTTTTTTCAGTAAAAAGAGAAACGCCAACAAAAATTCCGATGAATTAGAGAAACCCCAATAGAAATTGCGATTAAAATAACTTTATTTCCTAAAAAATCTTTTGCAACTAAGAGGCCCACACGAATTGGAGGCCCTAGACGGCTGCCTAGTTAGCCCAGGCCAAAGAAACCTGATTGTTATGAAACTTTAAGAGCCTCAATATGGTCCGCAGAAAAGTTATAAACAAAGAGTCAAACGCGAAAGAAAAAAGCAAAAAACAAAACAAAAAAACGAATGCTTTCATTGATTTTCTTCAGCATAGTAAATAACCCGCGAAAGAATGCGAGTAGCAGGTGGTATTTAAAGGTAAATTTAATGGTCCCTATAGTATAACTTAAAATGGTTTATTTGAATAATATCAATCATTTATCTATAAAGAACGTAGAAAGTTCAACAATTTTAACCCAACCGACTAATAGTAATAGTGAGGTTAATTTTGTATATGATGAAAAAGAAAAAAAAGAAGTCATACTAAATCAAGGAGATGGCTTACTAGATGCTGGAAAATTGACAAAATGTAAAAATGCTGTTTGTTTTATTTACTGCAACTCAGAAGACAGTATAAGGTATTTTATTAACATACCGAATATCTATTAAGTTTAAATATAGCGAGGTAGTTTGTACTATTTTTAACATACCTCAGTTGTTTACATTATTTTAATGTAATAATAGTTATTTTTTTAATGACAATTATAATATGACATGAAACATACTAAGTAACAATTCATAAGTAATAAAAAAATTAGGGGCGTTTTAATAAAATTTTTTTGCATATCTACTACTAGTAGATATGCAAAAAAAATTTATTACATATCTAATTTTTTTAAAATTAAAAAAATTAGATATGTAATAAAATTAGTGGCGTTTTTATAAAATAAAAAATTTTTATAAAAACGCCACTAATTTTTTTACAGTAGTAGTACTACTGTAATAGTACTTACAGTAGTAGTACTACTGTAATACAGTAGTACTAGTAATACAGTAATAGTACTTACAGTAGTGCATTGAAAATCGGAGACTTAAATATAACAACAGAATTGTTTATTTAAATTTTTTGTAAATGCAACAAAATTTTTTAAAAAGCAAAAATAACTTCTACACAGAAATTTGAAATTTGTAGCGAACCTTATGTCACTTGTGTGTTGTATTTATGTGTTGAAGTATATGAAAAATATAAAAAAACTTTGAAATAAATCAATTAGAGTTTTTTTTTTTTTTTTAATCAAATAGGTTTGACACAAACATCCTCTAGAGTCAATTTACAATCAAAATTTACAAAGCCTAAATATCTAATATTCCTACTGATTTTTTCCTACTTTATCTTTCAGCCAATATCAATGTTCTAAAACAAATAGTCAACTTTCCAAGTTGCTTTCCAGACAATTCGAATCATTTATCTTCTCCATTCGACTTACGTCTTGTTTCTAATCCTAGTCAGTACTCAGTTTCTCCATATTCACCTTTAGGTACTTCTGATCACTGTTTGATCTCTCTTTAAAACTATTATCTCACTCTTTTTCATCATCAGAATCCGCCTATCATCTTACCTCCTACAAATACCTTAAAGCTAGGATTCTTACCATGTCTTTCTTTGAGATGGCCCTTGGGTCAAGGGCGGATCCAGACCATGTCGTAAGGAAGAGGGGGGGGGAGATTTTAAATATTTTTTTATTTGGAGGATGCAGAGGATCTAGTGGGGGGGGGTGCTTTTTAGATTCAATGATTTGTAAGCAAGCAATCACACAATTTTGAATTCGCACCACATAATTTTATTAAAATTGTAATTTTATTTAGAAGCCTAACTATATTATTTTCGTTTTCAAACAACTTGCTGTGTTTAATATATAAACTTATACAAAATAAAAAATTTCAAAACTTTCTAAGGGGAGGGGGGAGAGGATAATCACCCCCATTGCTTCCCCCTATGGATCTGCCCTTGCCTTGGGTAGAAATCATTCCTCTTCCTATTGACAAATGTGTTTTTTATGTAACTTCTTGGATTCCGGTTGGCATGGAATCTTTTATTCCCTCTCAACAATTCCAAATCAAGCCTCACTCTTCTCCATGGTTTTCCTCTCATTGTGCTGCTTTAATTTCCAATTGTAAACATTACTTATATATCTATCATCAAAATAATTCTCCAGCAAACAGACATTTCTAGAAACCATTGTAAAAGGTTTCGTCTAACACCCAAGCCTGCTATTCTCAGGTCACAAAATCTTGTATTTTATCTCAAAAATTAGGCTCCAGAGACTTCTGGAGAATTTTTAACTGGATCTATAATAAGGGTAAGTTTGTTATTCCACCTCTCTTGCATGGTTTAGATTTTGTTACTCTTAAAGACAAAGCTGAATTGTTTGCTAAGAACTTTTTATTAATCTAATCTCTTGATTTCACTAATCACATCCTAATTAGTCAACAAACAGGTTGATCCTTTGCTTGATATTCTTATCACTCCAGTTTCTGTATCTAAAGTGATTTCTTGTTTTCCAGACCACAAGCTGTAAACTTTTTACAGATTGTGGTCTCAACAATATATCTGTTATAGTTTTGCAAAGGTTTTCTCTGAAGCTTTTATCTATACTTTAAAAATTTTGTAACAAGTGCTTATCAGAGACTTATTTTCCAGCCTGCTGAAAAACGATATCTGTTATCCTATTTTCAAAAATTCAGGAGAGCGATCTGACTCATCTAACTACTGTCCCATTAATCTTCTTACTATCAGGGTTGTTGAGTCTTTAATTAACAAACCTTTAGTCTTTCATCATGAAACTTACTTTCTGATCATCAATATGGATATAACTTACTTTCTGATCATCATTATGGATTTCGATCTTCTTGTTCTACTGCTGATTTGTTAATGGTAATAACCGATAGGTTTTATTAGGCATTAGTTAGATGTGGAGAAGTTAGGGCTGTTGCCTTCAACATTTCTAAAGCCTTTGATAAAGTTTGACATGCTGATCTTTTCCATAAGCTTTCTTCTTACGGTGTATATGGTAATATTTTTAAGATTATTGAATCCTTCCTATCCAATCGTAGTATAAAATTTGTCCTTGATGGACAGCACTCTTTTTCATATCCTGTAACTTCAGGGGTTTCTCGAGGTTCTATCCTTGGCCTTATACTCTTTTTAATGTACATTAACAATCTTCCAGAAATTCCCACATCTAAGTTTGCATTGTTCACTGAGATACTACCATTTATTCTTGTCATGATAAGAAGCCAACACTCTCTGATTGCTTGGAGGGAGCATTTGAGCTTGAAAAGGATCTCTCTTCTGCTACAGCAATGGGCTATCAGTGGCTGGTGGTTTTTAACTCAGATAAAACTCAATTTTTTACCCTTCATCTTCTAGGATTACCTCTTATCTCTGATCTTTCTTGGAGACCATATATCAAATCCATTGCAAATTTAGCATCTGCTAAGATTGCATCTCTTTATCACGCTCAACACTTTTTTACTCTAGGTTCTATTTTTTATCTCTACAAATCTTAAATCTGTCTTTGTACGGAATACTGTTGCTATATCTGGAGCGGATCTTCAAAAGATGCCCTTGCTCTTTTAGACAAGGTGCAAAAATGCATTGTAAACATAGTTGGACCTGCAGCCAACCTTCAGCCATTACGTCACATCGTCATAATGTTGCTTCTCTTTCTCTTTTCTAAAAATACTGTAATGGGCACTGCTCCAAAGAGTTAGCATCTTATTTACCATCTACTAAAGTTTATTCTTATGTTGCTTGTCATTCAATAAAGTCTCATCCATTTATTGTGACTTTTCCTAAGTGCTCTAAAAATTCTTATTTGTCTTTTTTTTCCTGGAACATTAGTTCTTTGGAATTTGCTCCCTTTATCTTATTTTCTTGATTCATATAATTTGCAATCTCAAGTCATCTGTTAATCGTTATCTTGTTTAAAAAAATTCATCTTTTTTCTTCCAGTAACTTCCAACTCTTATAATGGTTGCCTGCAGCCATGTTGGAAGTAATGATGCTTAAAAAAAATAAAATTTCTGCTTTTAAAGTATTTTATAAATATAACACTATGTAAAACTTATTTCGATATATGACTAGGTCTTGTATAACCTTTGCAATCGCATCTAATACAAATATTTTATGGTTATTCTTGAACTATAATAAATTAAAAAAATATATATATTTTTGCAAATTTTTGAAAACAAATCTTTGGGTACATGAAGATACAACTTTTTAAATTAATTTTTCTATAAATTGTTGAAAAGCTAAACAAAAAACATTTGACATAGACAAAATTAACCTAGACAACATTAACATCTTTGAAAAAAATTACTCAAAGTTATTATTTTATTTAAATAAAAATAATAAAGCTATTTTAAATAAAGTATAACTATATAATTTGTATTTATTAATACTATTATTAATAGTATTATTTAAAATTAAATATAAACATTGCAAATATAAAATTCATTAATTAATGTCTTAAAAAAACACAATACAAATAATAGTTACCATTAACAGCAATTTTATCTTTTTTAATTAATGAATTTGTGCTGGTAAGACCATATCATTTTCTGCAAACAACATATTTATCTCCAATTGTTCTTTTATGGGATTTTACGTCAATCAGTAAATTGCATAATGTGCAAATGATGTATAAGACTTTTTAATAACGATATCCATCTTAATTTGCTCATCATAAGCAGACTTCACAAAAGCAACTTGGCAAAGTTGTGTTTAACCTTATTTTAGCCCAGTAATGTATAATTTTTGTTGACTTTTTATTATTATTGACATGTATTTCTTTAAACAATAATATTTAAAAATAAAGTTATTTTCAAATATGATATGGCAAACAACCTTACTTTCTAAAAGCTGCTTTTTGTGTGTGGTTTTATGCAGTTATGTTATGCGAGTTTTTAACATCTTGTCACTAATATCAGTAACAAATAAACTTGAACATGATTATCTTTAAAAACCTCAGTAAATTTGATATAATCCAATTCAATTTTATCTGAAATTATTTAAGTTTTGACTTGTCAAGTCAAAAATTTATTTTACCTAAAGATTTTTATTAATTATTATGAAGAATACAGTTATCATTATATCAATATACTATTATTATTTTGATTACTAATATATTTATTTAGTATATTCTTATGTAATATTATTTATTACTTATTTAATATATTATTAAATATCATTACGTTAATATTTGTATCATTAGTACCATATTAGTATATTTATTTAATATATTATATTAATATACTAATCAACTGCTGTGAGTTATTTTAGGCCATGACGTTTTTGTCAATTATATATATATATATATATATATATATATATATATAATATATATATATATATATATATATATATATATATATATCAAATAAATAAATAATTTGTTGTTGTAATTCTTTCATTAAGGTTACCTCAACAACAAAAGTTTTTTTTAAGTTTTAGCAAAATATTTTTTTTTTAATAAAGTGAAATATTTCAAAAATATATATTTTAAAAATATGTACATATTTTTTCAATATCTTTGCTTCCAACAAGGCCGCAAGCAACCACTATTAGAGTTGGAAG